TTTCCTTTTTCTTTTTAATATTTTTGTTATTATTCTATCCTATGTATAAAATTCTCGTGTCAATGATTAAATTGTTGCAAATGTAGATTCACACAAAGAGTTGTTCGCCCGTCGCCATTCGTGCAGTCATCTTCTTGGTCAATCTGAATGTATATATAAAACGCCTAAGAATTAGAAAGGTCAATCTTCATCATAATTATTTATCGAGTGTTGGTATCTACGTTTGTATTTTTTTAATGATTTCTTTTTCGGTCTGTAGATGCACTTTGATCATTCAAAAATACATCCATAATTATATGCCATTGGTAGAGAATTTATTATCCAATTAATAAAATAATTCGAAACTACGACATAGACTAAACTAATGTACTTGTGGTCTTAATACAATAGTTATTAGGTTTATATTACTTTGTACAAATATTGTATTTGTACGCGTTTGGTACTATTTCAATATTTGTTGTGCGCTGCCCACAGTGTGACGCAATTGGGCTAAAACATCCCACAGTTCGACATACTTCTGTATAAGTGACCTTTGTTTTGCATTAAACATCAAACACGTCATCAGGCTATAAGTGTCCATTGCTGCAAATGCCTCTTCTTACACGGAGAAGATATGAGCATTAACCACCACGCTTTCTCAAGGTGGATAGGCGATTTCAAACCTATAATTAGGAATTATAAGCCCAGGTTTCTTCACTACGTTTTCCTTCAACGTATGTGAGTAGTAGCGGAGTCGAAATAATCTTAGAAAGTACATAACTCGGAAAAAGTCACATTGGTACTTGCCAGGTTCCAGAACAGAAGGCGCCTTAACCTCCGGGACATGACGACACCTCATTGTCCAAGTTGAAGCAAAAACAGTTGACCGCTTCTTAGATCGTCCATTGCATACTTCTTAACCAGCTGTAATTATATATGCGTCCGTCTGTCTGTTTGCCATCAGAGTGTATCTCATAAGCCATCAGACAGCTGAAATTTGGATATTTGAGGTATTTCTGTTGCCGCTACAACGCGCGCGAGTCTAAGTCGCACTTAGCCGGTTTTTCTTCTTCTTTGTACACCAGTTAGGAGTTATCTGCAAATAAACTTTATTTCAATGGAATTTAGGTTTTAAGTAGCTTACCTTTAGGCAGTCTGTTAGCTGGTTTGCGCCAAATCCATAAAAAAATCGAAATAAGAACAGTAGTAGGTAGTAATATCAGCCGAGGTTACGGAGTAAGCGCAATGAGGCACCGCGACCTCGGCCCACAGCAGGAGAAGGAACAGGGAGTTTTTAGTCAGTAAGAGTCTAACACCCTCCTCCCTCCTCCTTAAAAAAGCAAATATTAGCGAAAGGTTATACTGTTAATGAATTAAACTACGCCTTTATTGGTAATGACGTGTTGGCTTGTCAGTTAATCTATACATGAGATCATTGTAAATAGGGATGAATCATCCATTTCTTTAACACGTTTTAATTATATATCTGATAATATATGGAAAATGAACTGTTTTGTCTAAACATGCAAACAGAAAGATCTTAGTTGTTGAAAAGTTCAGCCGGGGGTGTAGTCACAATAATGTACCTACGCTCTTAAGACTTAGGGTTGGTTTTTAGACATTGAGTCTGGCACTCCTTGTCCACTAAGGATGGAAGAAGCCATTATAGACAAAACAAGTTGTTTTCGAAGAATATGGTACAATTTATTATTATGCACTTCCCCAAACTATTCGCGTTTTGTTTGAACAGCGTCTAGGTAAATTTAGAAATTCAGACTAGTATACCATACCTGAAATGAATAGTCCAAATTTTAACTAAAATTCTGTAGAATAACCAGATTGTTGCTTTGCAATCTTTGTGAACTGAAAAGATCTTCAACAATTTTTTTTTTACAACTGGCAACGCGCTGTTAACGTTTCTGGCGCTGCGGATGACTATGACGCTGGCGCCTCATCTCGTACCAAACTTGTTAATGTCGTTACAAGACAAAATACAGTTTCAAAAAATATTGAAAATGACCTCTTGCTTCTTAAAATTATAATAATAAAATATTTATGACCAGGTAAGCGTTTGACTTTATGTACTTACATACGACGTGTTATGTATGTACATAAGACAAGCATTGAAAAGTAAATATTTATCTTAAATATTGAGATTGTACATTTAAAAAACATTAAATTTATTCAAATGTACAGCCGAAGGCTGTTGTAAATTACATAAACTATTAAAAAATATAAAGCGTGGTTAGTTACCATCACAACTCGAAAACGGCTGGATCGATTTTCATCATACGAATTGATCAAAGAATCATCCCATTAAAACGAACAAATTCATTAGTCATATCATTTTGAAGTTTGTGGGAGCACGATTTGCAATAAATTGTATTTAAGTAGGATCGAAGCAAAAGAAAATAATACCAACCAGTTTCTAAAACTATCACACCCGGTTTCTGAAAGGCTTGTCAACGCTAAAATTAACTAATCTCCTGTTAAATCTCTTGTCAAGTTATCTGATTGGTTGTTGATAATTCAGTCAACCAATCGGATGACTTGACAAGAGATTAAATTGATTTTAACATTGATCGGACTTTCGGAAACCGGGGGTTGTTAGCCTTATGTGAAAAACCTATCTTCAGTGGCCGTATCGTAGCCTAGCTTGAAGTATGTGTGTGTAGTGTAGTGCCTTTGTGTCCTTTGTTCAATGTTTGTAAATCGACCACAGGTCCCAGCTCTCCAGAGAAATTCGATCCGGTTTGTATTAAAACCGTTGTTGTTGCGAACTTTTTGTTAACCTCCGCTCCGGTTAGTCTATTATTTGTAGCTTACATATCTGTATAGGTTTTTTTATTGAATTTTGTCGTTTGGTTTTCAGTTGTTACTGTAGGTATATGATTTGATGTATGAGTTATTGTTTTGGTACTAAATAGTTTTTTTAAGAGATAGGTTGGTAAACGGCCTGCTCGTTTTTCATTCATTACCTGATGGTAAGCAACCGCCGCCGCCCATGGACACCCGCAACACCAGTTACATGATCAGGGATGGAGAAAAAGGACTCCGGTAACCTCACTCACGCGGCGAAATAACGCTGTGGTTGTTTCACGTCGGTTTTAATGTGAGACCGTGATATCGCTCCGTTCAAGCTGACTTATTCATGACAAAACTTGGCTCTACTTCAATTAAATGTTTGCTACTTGGTACTATTTTAACTTTTGTGAGAAATCAATTAAAGGCTCGTGAAATTAGTCTATGACGCCCAATGCCATTAATGAAAGTTCAATAAAATAAAGAACGGCAAATAAAGATAAATAAAAAATAAGTTACCTCACTTGCGTACTAACAATACAATAAAATTAAAATTGTAAAACCACAATAGAAATCCATGAAGTAATATGATGGTCAAATCTGTCACAACTAATTTAGTTAGCAATTGCTACATCCAATTATTTAGTTTCCGTCAATCTGTTCTCGCTCAACTGATAAATAATTGAATTTGTCAAATGTCTCGCCTCAAGGACGGGGCTTCAATGCCCAATCAGGGGTGAAGCGATAAACTATTGTCAAAATATTTTGTAAGAATAAATTAATGCCTATGAATTTCTATTGCTTCTGATCGAGGGATCCGAAAAGTGGATAAGAGATTAGTTACCTTGGCGATAACAATATTTCCGTGTTATACTGTCTGTAGACTATAATAATCCAGATTCCTTACTATACCTATTTTACAGAAATAAACTTCTTACTAAAGGGTCTAATACTATAAATAACTAGCTACTCTAGCGCGGTTTCACCCGCTGATCAGCTCCATTTGATCGTAGCGTGATGTTTTATAGCCTATAGCACTCAGGAACATTGTAACTATATATCAGTGAAAGAATTTTGTCAACAAATGTCTGCAAATTTTACCTCTCTATAATATTTCCGAGTTATTACTTTATGTAGGCTAATAATCCAGATTCCCTGCTATACCTATTTACAGAAATACACTTCTTACTAAAGGGTCTAATAATATAAAGAATCATAACTCAATGTCCTTAAAATAAGTATCGATAAGTATTGCGTAGGTATCAGCAAATTCCCATTCATTCAACAATAATACACTTTGACGACTACCGTATCTACCTAGACCTACCTTAATACCAATAATTTCTTCATACTTCTACTTACATATGAAATTAATAATAAATAATCCGTCGACTTCAATTATTTTATTTGGATTACGTCATTGAGATTTGCCACCCTCTAAAACGATTATAGGCACGACAACCTCCATAGTTATTCACATAACTGCTAATTAAGTTATTCATAAATTTTCGTTATTCAGAATATAAACACGTTATTCAAATAAATGTACAAGGTTATTAGTCTACAAGGTACAGTCGATTTTATTTATAGTAAGTTCGTTGACCCCTTATGAGAATATAATTAAGGATGTAAAATTTTATTGGACAGTTAGTTGCAATTGTATTTAAAGTTCAGTCTTTAATCTTGTAGGTCTAAATGTATACCAAACGTTCCTAAAAAGGAATCACAGAGATATCGCACATGCTTCTATACGAATGGGTGTACTCGACCGAAGTGATACCACGGCGTTACAGAAACCCGGTGTAAAACAACCACAGCGTTGTGTTTTGCCGTGTAAGTGAGGTTACCGGAGGCCCAATCCTTCCGTTGCCACCATCCCTCTCCAATCCTTAAATCTTCGGAATCCTAACCTCAAAAGGCCGGCTGATTGCTTACTATCAGGTAATGCGTCTGGCCGTTTGTTGACCTTAAAACATTTACTAATGAAATGGTAAATTTATTTCAATTTAAAATTACTCGAATAGTTTTACTAGTTTTAAAGTAGGTACGGATGTAAAAATAAGGATTAATTAAACAAATCAATGCAAAAACTGAATCCTTGAAGGTCCTTCTCAACTGAAACATAGTTGTACATCGCGTGATACAAGGCCAGCATGACGCTATGAAGTAACCTCAAACACCACTTTACATTATTAATGAGATTTATCTCTTTGTTCTAGGTGTGAACATCATCAGAGCGTGTTTATGATCGTACGGTGAGGAAACTCGGCCGATAGTAGTCGGTAAGTTCTTCTGAAAGTTATTCCTTTCAATACTGTGTCTTGCTATTGCACTTTATTATTTGTTTTGTTACCTTTTTCAAGTGATATTGAAATGAGCTAATTCTTGAGCTGTACGTACGTTGCGGTGTTCTATCGTGATATGTTAAAACTCACGTGGATTACTTACTTTTGCTCTGTCAGCCCTGCTGTCTCTGTTATAAGAAAGCATCAACGCAATTTGACAAAAATACAAAAGTAGGGGGTTTTAAAAATTCTCTCCCATCATTACCTATCAGCTTGTTGACGTACATAAAACTGGAAATAATACATCTTTCGGGACTACAGCTGGATCTTACATAGTTTATTCAAATATGATTTTCAATATACAGGGTGTAAGGGACAGCCTTCCGCAAACTGATAGGGTGGATTCAGTATATCGTCTTAAGTTAACCGGTACATGAAATTATTTCAGGAACGTTATGGGAATCCAATTAAACCGATTTGTTTCATTACCTTACACGCAATGTATCGCTACCACCGCAAACGCACGCAGCGAACGGCAGCGCTTTTAGTATTATTACTTTACACTAAGGGCAGCGCCGCGACCTTACCTTTCGGACAAACGGTCGCGCTCGCGCCACGTTTTAATAACAATAAATTATTATTTAAAAGATAGCCGCATTACTTACTAAAGTAATGTAATAATCGCGCTTGCGCCACGTTTTAATAACAATAAATTATTATTTAAAAGATAGCCGCATTACTTACAAATGACAATGTAATAATCGCGCTCGCGCCACGTTTTAATAACAATAAATTATTATTTAAAAGATAGCCGCATTACTTACAAAAGAAAATCTAACAATCATAACATGGTAACTGATAAATGATAAAAAAAGAAAAATGCGTAGGTACCTTAGAATCGCTCCGGTTTCCGGCTCTGGAAAGCATTTGTGATGCGGTCTCGCATTTCGTACTCACTTGCACACGCACTCACAAACACTTTTTCTTTTACGTAACCCCACAAAAAGGGGTCCAAATGGGCTAGGTCTGGGGATCGTGCTGGCCACGGTTGCGGTCCAAACCTACCTAAACTACGGTTAAATAATAGGAAAGCACTGGTAAGTGGTAGCGTCTCGTTACGTTAGCGAACCAATTCCAAAATTCACGTAGGTATTGGTCTTTCGGCGCCTTTTTGTCTGGGAACAATGGGCTGGTTTTCTAGCAAGCGTTGATAGGCACCAGTAATTATCCTGGAGTCTGATGGATGCCGACGGTCAGGATACCTACACTACTACACATTATCATCTCCCCATAATCACGCGCGCTAAACGTACCTACGTAGTAATTTCGCACAATTTCTACAACAAAACTTCACTACACTTCCTATAACTAATAAAACTTAACAACACTACTTAAAACAAAACTTTTAAGCCGAATGCGCGAGCGATCCGTACCGACACACGCTCGCGGTACACAAACAGTAACATCGCAGCAACTAGCAAGGCACAATGGCGACTGCATGTGATGAGACACACACAAACATAAATCTGTTGTTGCCAATTACACGAAAATCACAAAATTTCGGGGAAAAAAATAAAAAATTATGCATGGTCGTGAATTATCATTCTGTTATTTTTTGTAGAGAAATGAATTGATTAAATCAATTTAATTCCAATTTCATAGTTTAGTAAATTTAGAATAATAAAAGTGCAGTGTGATAGAAAGCCGTGCTTCCATTGCAGGGAGATTGTGTTTAATTTCTGGCTCGACTATCAATTCATGGCTATTGTGAAGCCATGTAAAAATCTGTAAGTAGTTTAAAAACTAGCCAGTAATCGCTTGAAAATAACAATCAATTAATAAATTAGGTAGTATTTGTAAATGCTTTAAAATTAAAACTAGACTAATCTTTATTTATTTTTTATTCAATTTATGTGCACGACAAGATTTTCATTAATTGATTAATGAAAATCTCATCAATGTAATTATGAATGCAAAGGAGTTCTCAAGTTTTAGTTTAAATTTCGATAGTTCTAACATTTTCGTTTACTACCTGAGGTAACAAAAGTTAAAAGTTGGCAACACTGGTTCAATCGGGGAAACGCGGAGGCCGGGCGATAGAAAGGGACGCAGCTATTCTGTACGTTGGACGGGATCGTAGGTATACCTACGGAGCGGCGATCGGCGCGGTGGGCGCCGTGGCCGCTGCGCCGTGACCGCGACGCAGTGAGTTCAAACGACTCTAGCTAGGTAGAAATTGAACAGCTGATTTCATGCGTAGTTCTTTAGAGAATTCACACAACCATTGCGTGTTTTTTTGTTTTAGCTGTGTTATTTACATTAATGTTATTCTTCATACATAGAATGTAATTATACATAGAAATAGAGGTGTAGGAACTGGAAAAACGAAAAAAAAATTGAAAATTTTCCTGAAAGAATTTTTACTGGAATATGATTCAGAATAAGGAGCTGATTGCATCCTGTTAATTTGTAAAGGGCTGTCCCTTACACCCTGTATTCTATGATTTGTCTTTAAAATAAATAGTTTTTTAAATAATAATTTAAGCCTTTACGGCTTACCTACCTTTTGTTTTGTTGGTGATTTTACCATTTTGCATTGCTGTTTTTAACAGTCACTATCCCTGATGACCATTTCTTGTAACAACCGCTTCTCCTTCGACAAAGGCCTCATCCAAAGACCACCATCTATCTGCCTCTTACAATTCTGATCCATCCTGTACAGCTTTTAAAAGGAAATATCACAAATAATCTTCTGTCAAAAACAGTTAATAATGAGTAACAAAGCTTTCAGACCAGACCAACTGTCCTTGGAAAGATATTCTACTATTGCTTTCAGACGTAACAATCACCGTCAGAAAACACAAATTCAATAAACATAATATTACCTGTCTTACACTCAAGGTTAACAGAAGACAGGTATAGGTCCAAGATGACGAGGGTCCATCTAATACGTAACAGACATTTCAATTTCCAAATAGTATCTGAAAATAGCTACACTATAGTTTCTAGATCTATCGAAAATACATATACGTGTGACATAGACCTGCTTTATCACCCTAATTTAAATACTCAATAGATGTATGATAATTATGACACATACATCTTCTAAATTACGTTCTAATTTTGTATATTGGCTATCCAAATATTGTAAAATAGGTTCTATGTGTGTAGCGCACCCCATATTATTATCTACCTACCTCATGTTACATCACTAGCCTACCGATTACCATTGGCCACAAATATAAAGTGTGGGAGAGCCATGCTTCGCCACGAATGGATCGGCTCGACCGGAGTGATACCACGGCCTCACAGAAAACCGGCGTGAAACAACCACAGCGTTGTGTTTCGCCGTGTGAGTGAGGTTACCGGAGGCCCAATCCTTCCCCTCCCTCAATCCCTCCTCAATCCCTAAATCTCCAAATCCCTAATCCCTAAAAGGTCGGCAACGCACTCGTAACTCCTCCGTTGCGGGTGTCCACGGGCGGCGCTGATTGCTTACCATCAGGTAATCCGTCTGCTCGTTTGCCGACCAATTACATAAAAAAAAAACAATAAAGATTCCATGTCATCAAAGAAATATTTATTTATTTAAGTACTTTTTGCACATTTGACTTAATGCGTAAAGCATTTTCTTCCACCTTAGGATGATATAGAGACAGGCCGTCGTAGGTGAACAGCTAAAAGAGTAAAAAGTTATCTGCTGACATTTTGCTATATCCAAAATTAAAATAAATATTCTTGGTGTTTCCATAATTAAACTTGAACATTGATATGATCATAATAATTAGATCCTGGATATCATTCAACCACTTTGTACTAGCAAACGCCTTTTAAAAATCCAAAAATACGTCAAACATTTGAATATTTTATTTTACTTTTGCTATGAACTATAGCCATGTATTTTTCTGCCATCCATAGTCTCACACACTACCGGTTCATCGGTCGAGACTTGGATTCGTTCCAGAAATCGCTATTTGATTCCATTCGCTTTGGAGAATCAACATTGCCAGTGACATGAGTTTTATCTCTGATGATGGACATTCTCTGATACTAGTTGGGACTTGTTGTTGTTTTATCAATTTTTCTGTTAAAAATGACTCTTATCGTATTTCCATCTTGTGAGTTTAATATGAATAATGTTTAATGTAATATGAATGAGATGAAATTTTCCATTTTTGATATTTTTACGACTCTCAAAGATCTGTAGTCAGTCAGTTTATTCTTTGCTTGATTTTCGTCTCACAGGCTTGCATTTTAAGTTTTTACTGCGAGCAATACCGTCCAAAATATATTTTTGCTAAGCGAAGTTATAGGTTTAGCGACAAATATAAAAAAAAACAATGTTCATTACGATAATACTCTCAGGTGCCGACCTCATTTAATGGAACAGCCCAGCAATGACACAAGAGCCAAGAGGATTATCGATCAATCCCCTAGTTTCTTATAATTGCGGTTACATCACCCCATTCTATCCTAGATACCGTAAATATAAACATGTTTTTGCTGAAAAGTTTTATTCTTATTTTTAAGCCTTTATTTATTCAACTAATTACTATTAACAGACTGAAAAATCAAGTGGAACATGTTTGTACTTTACATTTTTAACACATATCCAATTATTAATTGTGTGCACTTGGCAGACATTAAAATTAAAACTGTCTATACTATACTAATAAGACGAAATATATACAGATGGTTCCTAAAAAGCAGCGTCCATAATAAAGTCACCTGTATAAAGAGACACACAACAATACGCTTTCTACGTGAACTTATTCGGCACATCTCGAGACTCGACGTTATCATAGCACGCCAACAGCCGCAGAAACTACTTGGACAAACAAAAGATGTCCCCTACTAAGGGACAACAACTGTAACATATTTCTTTTAAAATAAACTTATTGAAATTATTAGAAAATTTAACAAAAACCAATAGACCCAGCGACCTCCGTATCGCTTCGGCATTATCTAATGTATATATTCTTCTGACCTTTTAAACT